TTACTTTTTTCTTGAGGTTTTTGGCCTGGCGGGACCGGTAGTCCTGTTTTCGATTTTTCTTTTGCTTAGGTTATTTTTTGCCTTTAGTCCGGTACCAGTAGGGGCTTCGACGGCCCTGTATAGGGTTGGCCCCCTGCTGTACCGTTTTATTCTGTTTGATCGGCCTGCCAGGTCCTACTTTCTGTTGTTACTTTGGGTTTCTTTTTTTTACTTTTGGGGCACGGGATTTGAGGGCCGTTAACTATTTTTCTCTTCGCAGAACATCTGAAGAAGCCGAACCAAGAACAACTAAAACGGAGAGAATTTATTAATAAAATATCTTTTTTTGAACCCACATTTTTTGTCTCGTGTCCTCAAATATGTTGTGTCCTTGGTGGGCGTAACACCATACAAACCGAAAACACAAAGAGATTTTTAATGGTCCAGAACTCTGGGACTATTTTCTAATTTCATTTTTGGCATGTTTATAAATTATCTGAAAAAACAAACAAACCACAAACACACTTTTAAGCTGTTTTTCAATTCAGGCTTAATTGTTAAAGTAATTTTTCATGAACTTTTTTTTTTTTTGCACCTTTCAATGGGTATTCACTGGTATCTGGGTAGTTCTTAACACACAATGTCAAAAGCATGGCAGATCTGCTTCTGGTAATGCTCTTTGCAATGACTGTATTGACAAGATGCAAAATGCCAGATTAACTATTGGTGTCTCTTAATAATTGGAAAAATGTGTCAGCAAATTTAATACTATATTGTATAATTAAAAAAATCTGGATTTTTGCTTTTCCTCTTTATATGACTTTCTAGAAAATATGTTTTTACACTGTGAAATTAAGAGTATGCTCTAAATAGTTCAAGGCTCCTTTTGTGTGACAGTGCATTGATGCCATTTTACAAAGAGCTTATAGTTCTTACGTTTTTCATGTTTTCTGTTTTACTGACTTAAGGGTTTATAAAATGCAATGGACCAACACCCAAACCCTCCCTTCTTTTTCCGTAAAATTCTCAACTTTTTACCTTGACTGCTGTTAGTTGTGAACCTCTTGCTACCACCCTTCATTATTTTCTATTAATATGCTTTAACCCTGCACTCTATGCAGCTATAGTTACTGAACAATGGTTTTTCTGGTAATTCAACTGTCTTATAAATCTTTGTACTTATCCTCTGTGAACCTTTCAGAGAAGCTGAGTATTATAATTTCATTATCTATAACCCATAAGAATTTAAAACGATTAACAGCAATAAATATTTGAAATACATCCCTCTGTGCAATAAATGTATACCATGATATGCATTTTTTCAAATTTAGATTAACTTTTCAGTGTTATTAAATATGTTGCCATGTACCAACTTTTATTCTTTTATTATGTTTTTTTTTATTGCCGTTATCCCTTTTTATTGCAATACTAAAAATGTTTTACAGTTTACATTAACCTTAGTTGTCACGGATATTTCCGTATGTATCTTTTAGCTCAATTCCTTTTATCAACTGAGAGGGATGATATTTAATAAGAACGCAGGTTGAAGTGAAGCATTGAAAAAAAAATACTTCAGACGAGTTCATCAAATTAAATCCAACCCATTTTGTGCGAAAGGAACACTTTAAAATGAAGTCAATGAACCATTATTATTAAATGTGCAGAAAATGCAGCTTTCACAAGTCATTGGGGAATAATTGCCCAACAGCTCAGCAGTAATGGACAAAGTTATGGAACAAAAGTGGTTTAGTCAAAAAGACTGACCCTGGATCATGAGCTCGTTAATTTTTTTTCTATAGCTGTGCAACACTATGAAATAGATATGAGCATAATTTGTTGTTGAGATCTTTTTATGGAGCGATGTATTGAAAGTGGATGCATTTAATCAAAATGTATTCTGTAGAATGTCCATGAAGATGCTAAGGTTGTTTGGTGAATGGAGCATTGTAAGTTTTTGCACCTTTAAAGTTACGACCTATATTTGCTGCAACCCTGTAAGCAGCTTCATCATTAGGCTAAATTTAAATAGAAAAGAAACAAGAACTTTCAAATTAATGAAAAAAAACTAAAACATTTTATTGTAAAAATATGGGAGAAAAACATTTTGGCTCCTGTTTCAATTGCAGGAAAACATGTCATACTTTGATGTTGCTGATAACAATTTTTGTGCAATCTTAGATCTTGGTGCTTTCAGTACGAGGACCAGGGGTGGAGTGTCTGTGCGTGAAGGCCAAGGTGTTGTGCTGATGTGTACCCCCCCTCCTCATTCACCAGGTAAGACACGTTTTATAATTATTCCCTTAGCAGTAAGCTAAGTTTTCCAACATTGTTGAATGGCTTTTTTAAAGCAGTTTGATCATTATGCCTTTTGTATGATGAACTAGGATTCTTTTCGGCTGCACAAAGACAGAATACAGACTTTCACTTTATGCTTTGGGGATCGTTAGAAGCATAGTAAGATGTTACAAACAGGAGCCAATTATTTGGAAAAGACAAATCTTATGCCTCACACATATCAGCCCACAGTTTTCTTCTGTTTCATGCCATGCAAACAATGAGACTTTCAGATTCTCTGTTTTACAGAATCATAGCATGCTTTCCTAATGGCAGAAATATTTGCAGAGAACTAAAGCCCTTTGCAAAAAAAAATATAAAAATATTGCATTAAATTGTATGTTAATACTATCTGATGGGTTAAACTGTATTTGTTGATATTCTAAATTCACTTAAATTTGAGTAAAGACATTTATCTCTTTTTGTTAGTAAAACATCAAGTTTTCAACTACCGATCACACAAATTTGCCTAGATTTCTATTTATTTGTCGACGGTTGCACCTGTGATTGACATCTGATAGATATCTGACATGGTGCACAGTTTAATGAGGGGACAGAGGCGTGATGGAAATATAGATTTTCTGCCGTCTTTAGTTTGTTGCAGCCTTGCTGCTGTAAACTTTAATTGATCCAGGTATCAGTCACAGTGACAGAGTGTAAAACATTCATGTTGTGCCGCATTAAGTTTGACCCATGGATCAAAATGCTCATCCACAAACTCGCACCCGGAAGCAGCATAAAATCGGTAGAGCACAGTGGCTGATCAGTGCAGGTCTTTCTTTTAGCTTAACAAAGCTAAAAAACAACTAATAATATCAAAGGATTATCCATAAAGCCTATCAGCAGCACCAATTATCTCTTAATGCTTTGTTTCTCTCCAATGATCCTATAATTGTGTGCACCTCTCCCAATAGCATGTAGCATTAGCAAATTCTCATTTATCACATACATTTAACAGAAAAGAAGAAAACAATCATATCAAGTCAGTTTGTTTATATTTTTGTTCTTATTTTGGCTGTCTGCATAAATTTATAAATGTGATTCACAGTCAAGTCGCATTACAACACCAAATCTGGGATTTTGAATAATTATTTTTGTGACAGACCAACACAAACTAGCAAAAAATTGTCACCTCCAAGGCAAATGACAAACATTGTGAATTATTTCTACTAATAAAAGCCTAAGATGTGTGCTAAGCATAGCAATTTAACCCTTTTTTAATTGTTTACCCCTAAATGCGTCTAGAAAGCGACCAAATGCCTATAGAAATCGCCTAATTAGTAAACAGAGACCATCTGTTTGTAATTCAATCTCAATATAAATCCAGCTGTTCTATGACTGCCCTGAAGGTTATAGAACATTAGTTAAAAAAAAAAGAAAACTGCTTCACCAAGACCAAGAAGCACAGCCGACAGGCTACAGTAGTAATGGTTTTAGAGATGTGCATTTGCTGGTGAAGATTCTCATCATCCAGGTCATAGTCATTCCAAAGAAGTTTAAAAAGTAAAAAAAAAAAAAAAAAATCCAGTAGTTTGTTTTCCAACTTTTTTCCTTTTTTGGAGATGTGCATAGCAACATGATGTCATAAAGCAATATTCCTTGCCTTTGAACAACTTAGGAGGGATGTATTGCATTATTAAAATTGCGCTTACTAAATGGTTGACGATCTAAACCGATGGGCTGGGAATGGAGAGCATGCAGATCTACACCTTAGGTGGAGGAATCTATGGACTTCTGTTGCTATGCCCTGTACAAATCTGACATTTATGGTTGACTGCAAAGAAAAAGAAAACTGATAAAAAGTCACATCATGAAGAATTGAAAAAAAATAATAATTAGATTAGATTAAGAGGCATTTTGGCCTGCATGCAAAATGAAGCTTAAGATGAAAACTCAATGTGGAAGGCTCCTATCAGCTTCACCTGGAACAACCGTTGAGTGACTCGCTCAAGGTCCAGCCAATCGACATCTGGACCACAGCCCCTATCGAGCCAATTGTCATTCAAGATGCTCTTGATTAAACTCCAGGCCCAGCTTCCTTCCTGCACCAGGCAAACTTTCACCCACCTCTACCCCATCTCCTCCCTCTCAGTGTAATCTGAGTTCCACTCATCCTCTAGCTTATCCAAACACCTAAGTTATTCATCCATGCACATGTCAACTCACAACATCGTGTCTTCAGCCGGGGTCTGAGCGCCAAAGAACTTATTTAATTCATGTCAATAAAATCTTTCTTATTGCTTCTTTTCTCCATGCGAGTCTCTCCAGGTTGAAATGCTGTGAGTGATGGAGTATTAAAATCTATACACTACATCCCCTCCCTAAAACAAAACTGTTACACCGGCTCATGTTGGAATGAGTTGATAAGAAGATTAATAGAGATAAGGGTGAGAAACTGACTTGGAACGAGAGCAAAGGGTTGACCTTACAGCAGGAAGGGGTCCTCAAGCAACCGAATAGAGTTACAGTGAAACGGTTTAAATCAAAGCATACTTGTGTGTTAGAATGGTATTGAATGGTTTATAGTAGTGGCAAAACTACAGTGGCAAGAAAATGTAGGTTCAGATACATTTTCTATCTAATTTCATTGAGCTGAAGCATTTTTTTAAGGGAGATTTTTTATAGATTAGCAAAGCTAGTAGACAGATAATGTACCACAGAAGACCTGCGATGAATATAAATGCACAAGAAAGCATCTGAATTGTATTGTCAAAGGTTTGATTTTCCTTCAACTTCACAGTGATGCATAGAAAAAATACATTAAGTTTGTTATCAAAGTATAACCAAAAGTTTTATTTATATGAATATTTTAACTAAGACAAAAATATTCTGTCTTTATATTTACTTTGAACAACATTTCTGTTACAATCATCCTTAAAGAACTTTAATTAAGTCATTCAATAAAATTATGCTCAGCTTCATGTTTCCTTCTTTCATTGAAAATCAAGTCCATCCCTACAAGCAGCTGTTTTTTGTGTTTTTTTTTGCTTTTAATGCTCATCTGTTTATTAGTTTAAATTCCAATATGATAATGAAATTTACTAACGAAGAATTAACACTCAAACCACATAAATTGAATCTCTAAAGGACAAAGGCTTTAAATTTGCCAGTTTGATGGATGGCTTTGTGAGCCAGAGCATGTCACAAGTGAAGTTTATGTTAGTTTAAATTATTTGGATTAAATTGGTTGTGGGAGGATTCATAGACATTCAAACCCACTCAAATTCAAATAAACCTCCATTGGCGATCACTGGGCTGTGAAAAGTTTATTTCCCTCTTCGTGGTTTAGAGCAGTTTGGATGTTTCTCTGTAGCAAATACTCATTTATTTTATAGAGATTTATTTTTTGCCAATATAACATTGAAAAAAAATCTGTGTTACATATTTTGTACTTTATTGTAATTTCTTTCAAATTTTTTTCATAACGCAAACAAACATGCAGATTTTTAACATTATGATTTATCAAATTTAGTAAACATTATGAGTATGTTCCTCCCGTTGCAAGCTTAGACTTCAATCTTTGAATGTTAAATTATGTTCAATTCAGATCAATCACTTCATCCCTGATTATACAGTAACGTAACGGTGGTGATATCTTAAAAAAATACTTTTTTAATATTCAAATAATTCTAATATTAGAATCAATACTATACCATTTTATTAATGAAAACTGTTCATTACTCAAAAGCATAAATAATATTTAAACTTTGTTGCGTCTCTAGATATTTCCTTGCTAAAGAATTAACGGTCTTCGAATGTTTTTACAAAACCTTAATATTTATATTCTTTCTTAAAAGTATAGTGGACGGTTTTCACAAATCTTTGAAAATACCCACCCTCTTCACTTTAAAAAAAAAAAAGCACATGCACAACCCTGTACCCACTCCAGAGGGGGAACGCCTATTAAATGCGTGCAAGAGCATGCAAAAGTCTATTTTTTTATTTTGTTTAAAAGTCAGTTTGAATCGCTCATAAAAGCTTACGTTCCAAAAGAAATTTTGCACTTTGTCCACTATGTCAGATTCACCACCGGTAAGTGAAAATGGGGACGAGCACGTAGGACGGCCTTATGCAAACATATCACGAGAATGATTGACAATTAGGAGGACCACTTATTTTGATGATGCACCCGGAAAATGAACATCCTCCACCAGTGTTGTAGTACTCAAGATCGGTCTTGGTCTCAAGACCATTTTTTGATGGTGTCGGTCTCGTGTCGGACTTGACCGCATTTGGTCTCGGTCTTGTCTCGGTCTCGGGCGCTGAGGACTCGGCATTTTATTTCAAGACCGGTCAAGATCACAACTGTGGAAATAACACTAATCATCAGAATATTATCAGTTTCTTTAAGATCCTTCTTTTTATTGGA